TTGTAAGTCCCAAGGTCTGCAGAACATGGCAGGCTGCTGAACAATGACACAGCTACATGCAGGATCCAAGCATGCTATAAGCTAGAGACCATTCTACTTAAATATAGGAAGCAGACCACATCCCAAAGGCAGCTACTCAGCTGCTTGTGTAGATTCCACCATGGAGTTGATTGCCAGTTTCATCATGGGGAATAACTACCACCAGCTGCCCAGCCACTCAACCAGGCCCAGCCAAATTGACACACAAATATAACTACCACAGTCATGTGCACTATATCCAATTCCTTTCTACTTTGCTCTCCTTATTATTTCCTAGTTATGTTCTCATTCATCTCTGTCTTCATGTAATTATTCCTTAGCAAATTGGTTACCATTTTTCCCTTTGTACCTCTTATTACCAAAGTCTTGAGATAACCAAACTCCTAAAAGTCTTTTGCTCACAAGTGCCTTTGCTTTTTTGTTTCAGGTTTTGAGATTCAAACTAAAATCAGTGAATCAGTTGCTCAGCGAGATATTTTTGGAGACAAAATATCCAATGAACAGAAAATAGTATGATTCCAAAGGAATGATTTCTGGTCCTCCAATTTACTTGAAAAACAAGAATACCAGGGTATTGATTATCGCAACAGTGACCATGACAGACAATTGAGGTGAGTGGCATTCATAAAAGAGAAAGAAGTGTGTTTGGGAGAATCATAAAATGTCATGAGTTTTTTTTTTTTTTTTAAACTTACATATATAAACCTAGGTCAAAAATTGCGATTTCATGACTAATTTTCAGAAGATAATAATTCCAAAGATGTGATTGAGATATTGAATGTTTGACAGTTTACTTCCAAGCAATTATCATAAAAATCCCATAACTCAGAAACTGTGTGACATTATTGGCTATGGTAGAGCCCTTTATTAGAACGTTGAGCTTTTAATCTGACAGGGAAGAAAATGTATACATTTACTGAAATGATAAAAATTTATTACTAATAATGTGCTTTTTATTTTTAAAAGAAGTCATATGGTGAAGAGTACCTATGAATGTAATGAAGGAAATCAGTGTGGACAAGCCTTCAGCCAAATTCGTAATCTTAATGTGGTCAAGAGAACTACTGGAGTAAAACCTTACAAATGCCATGAGTATGGGCGGGCCTTCATGGATCGTTCATCCCTTAAGAGTCACATTAAGTCTCACACTGGAAGCAAACCCTATCAGTGTAAGGAATGTGGAAAAGCCTTCCATTTTCTTGCTTCTTTTAAGAAACATGTGAAAACTGTCTTTGAAGAGAAGCCCTATGAATGTAAGGAATGCACCAAAGCCTTTAATTGTTCCTCATCCTTTAGGACACATGTGAAGAGTCATACTGCAAAGATAAAGTATGAATGTAAGGAATGTGGGAAAGCCTTTAGTTGTTCCTCATCCCTCACAGAACACAAAAGAATTCATAGTGGAGATAAGCCTTATGAATGCAAGGAATGTGGGAAAGCCTTTAGTTGTTCGTCTTCTCTCTCAAAACACAAAAGAATTCATAGTGGAGATAAGCCATATGAATGTAAGGAATGTGGGAAAGCCTTTAGTTCTTCCTCCCACCTTATAATACATATAAGAATTCATACTGGAGAGAAACCTTACGAATGTAAGGAGTGTGGGAAGGCCTTCAGTGAATCCTCAAAACTCACTGTGCATGTGAGAACACATACTGGAGAGAAACCCTATAAATGTAAGGAATGTGGAAAAGCCTACAATTGTCCCTCCTCCTTGAGTATTCATATGAGAAAACACACTGGAGAAAAACCGTATGAATGTCTGGAATGTGGAAAAGCCTTTTATCTTCCAACTTCCCTTAATACACATGTGAAAAATCAAAGTAGAGAGAAACCCTATGAATGTAAGGAATGTGGGAAAGCCTTTAGTTGTCCTTCATCCTTTAGAGCACACGTGAGAGATCACAGTGGAAAGGTACAGTATGAGTGTAAGGAATGTGGGAAAGTCTTTAGTCGTTCCTCATCCCTCACTGAACACTTAAGAACCCACAGTGGAGAGAAGCCTTATGAATGCAAGGAATGTGGAAAAGCCTTTATCAGTTCCTCCCACCTTACAGTACATGTAAGAACTCATACCGGAGAAAAACCTTATGAATGTAAGAAATGCGGGAAAGGCTTTATTTATCCCTCAGCCCTTAGGATCCATATGAGAACACACACTGGGGAGAAACCCTATGAATGTAAGGAATGTGGGAAAGCCTTCCGTCATTCTTCATACCTTACCGTACATGCAAGAATGCACACTGGAGAGAAACCATTTGAGTGTTTTGAATGTGGAAAAGCTTTCAGCTGTCCTTCATCCTTTCGAAGACATGTAAGAAGCCACACTGGAGAAAAACCATATGAATGTAAGGAATGTGGAAAAGCTTTTGTTTGTCCTGCGTACTTTCGAAGACATGTGAAAACTCACACTAGAGAAAACATATGACAGTAAGGAATTTGGGAATGTCTATAAGATTTTTTTTTTCCCAAATCTTAGGCAACATATGAGATACTACATTCTGGAGATACTCTGTGAAAGTGAGGAAAACCTTCAGTTGTTACTATCCTTTTGAAAGCTTTTGAGATTTGAAATAACCTCTGTATGGAAATCATATGGGAAAGCATCTATGAACATCACTTATGCATAAGAAAATTCATATTAGAAGTGAAGTCTTACATACCTTTATCAGTGTTTCATCCTTAAAATGGACTGCTAGCTTTTTAATTTATTTTCTGACATGACTTATTTAAGGCAATAGATTTCCCTCTAATACCTTCTTAGCTCTAGCCACATATGTTTTTGTATGAGGTGTTTTTTTATTACAGTTGAGATTATAAATGTATTATTTCCCTTATACAATCTTTTAGACCTATGGAAGATTTTAAGTGTATTATTATTATTATTATTATTTAATGTAAGCATATAAGAGTTGTGGCTCAAAATTGATTTCTGATTTCCATTATTCTCTAAGAGCAGTCATTTTGGTATTGACACATAGGTATTTAGGGGGAATATCTTTTTTGTCTAGCATGCCAGATACTGGAAATTGCTTACCTAATATTCCTTGGGTTGCTATGAGTCGGGTCCAACTTGATGGCACATAACAACAACAACAACAGTATTTATTTACCTTTTTTTTTTTTTACTAAAAACTTATACTTTTGTAGGTTATCAGATTTTACTCTTAAAAGATTTTCCTGTTCAATAAGTAATTTCAGCAGAATTTGTTAAGTGTGCAAAGTTCTTGAAAGAGGACAGTCTCAGCTGCTTTTGTATGTTGTCCTTTGCCCTTTCTGGGAATTAAATCCAATGTTTTAAGTTTAAAAGAAGAAGCCTTGTGACATGAAGATGAAAGCTAGAAGTAAAGGTGGTTGGGCTGGCTTGTGCTATAACATGGGTATAGCTGGGAACTTCCTTTCCCAGAATCACTTCTTTGTTGGATTCCTGGTTAGAGTTGTCTAAAAGAGGAGCGCTTACATAAGATTCAAAAGACAGAAGGGAAGAAGCCATTACTTTTAGTTTAGAGACATCATACAGGGAAAGAAATGCCTAGGGGCCTTTGGACTTCAGTTTCCAGCTCATTTTCCTGATTGTTAGACTCACTGATGAATACTGGTTCAAAAACTGTATTAAAGGTCTGACTTCAGTTACGTCAGAGGTAGTAGCTCCACAGATATCTCCACAGTCTCCCTCTACACAGCTGTTTGGACTTTCTGGCAAGCTCATTACCAATTTGCTGATATTACAGTTCCTCTGGCACATCAAATAAGTATAGAGGTGGGCCTGTTTAGGGGCAAGGTTGTCGTCATCTGATCATGTTGTCCTTCTCATAGGGAAAGACACATCTGTGCTGGAAGCCTCTGTTATCTTGTAAAAGCAAGAAGAGCTGTGGTCAGTGGCAGGGAAATTAACCTAGGCATAATTGAGGTAGGTGTTACACAGAGATATTATACCCTTTTAGTGGAGAAGGATATTTAACACCTTCCAACCCAGAAGATTTTACTGGCAGTTCAGACCCACCAGCCACACCACAGAAGGAAGATTGGGTAATCTACTTCTGTAGAGATACCGCCTTGGAAACTCAAGGAAGGGTCGTTATGAGTCAGATTGACTTGACAGCAGTGAGTTTAGTTTTTTGGTGGTGTTTTATCTGAGAAGATAAAAGATATTGGTTTCAGCCTCTTCAGGTACATTTAGTTCCCCTCTTTCTTTCTATTATATTTTCTCGTTATCTCTAAAAGTATACTTGTATCTCATCTCTTCCCCTTTCATCAGTGTTTCCTTTTTTTTTTTTTTTTAAGGTATATGTACACTAGCTCAAATGCATGAAGTATGTTAATCTTAAGTAGCTTGCTTGATGAGATTTCACATATGTGTATTCTTATAAACAGAACATTTCCAGGACTCCGAAGCCTTCATTCATGCCCCTTTTCAGTAATTACCCCACAGAGGCAACCACGATTCTGACTTGTATTACAGTTAATTAGGTTAGATGGTTTGCACTTGATCTTGTTTATTCTTGTTAAAGTTTTAGGTATAGTTTGGTGTTTGGGATTTTTTTTCCTCCTCCACCTCAACATAAGTGTCTGAAATGCATCTGTTGTGCTGCATTTTTCACTAGTTTGTCTTTCAATCTTTTTTTTGTAGGCTTACGCACTCATTTCTCTTGGTATATATGCAGGAATGAGGTTACTGAATCATGGGGTATGTTTAATTATGGAGGGTATTCCGGTTTTTCAAAAAGGTTGATTCAAGCTGTAGTCCCAATAGCAGTGTATGAGCATTCTAGTGGTTTCACATACCTCACCAACACTTTCTGATTTTAACCATTCAGTGGAGGGTTTTTTTTGGTGTTAATTTGCATTTGTCTGATATATAAAGATAGTAAGTACCTTTTTAAAAAAAAAAAAAATACATTTTATTGAAATATAATTCATGTACAGTGAAATACATAAAACTAAAGTGACATGAGTCAATGCATTTTTTTTTCTTTCTGTAGTGTTCCCTGCCCTCCCTTCTTATTCCTAAAAATATTAAGTACTTTTTTTATGTGTGTGCTTATCAGCCATTTGAATATCTTTTTTGAGGGCACCTGTTTGAGCATTTTATTCATTTTTTCATTTAATTGATTTGAAGGGCTTCCTTCTGTTACATGGCATTTACTGTATCTACATGTTACCTGTATATACAGAAATAAATTTATTGTATGTATGTATGTATGTATGTGTCTACTTGTGTAGATATATATATGAGCTTTTGTGGTATAGTGGGTAAGGCATTTGGCTGCTAATCAGAAGGTCAGCAGTTCAAACCCACTAGCTGTTCCACAGAGGGGAAATGAGGCAATCTACTTCCATAAAGATTTACAGTCTTGGAAACCCAATGGAGGTCACTGTGAGTCAGAAACGACTCGATGGCATTGGGTTTGGTGTATATGTATATCTGTGTGTGTGTGTGTGTGTGTGTATCACTGCCATTAACTCGATTATACATACACATACACATATACATACACACATTGCAAAAAACTTCTAGTTTCTGCCTTGTCCTCATCCTCTTTTCATTTTTATGAGTCCTAAAGGTAATTTACTGGTTCAGTTACTGAAAAGTTTTGGGTACAAGTTACTTCAAGCATGGCTAGATCTTGGGGCTAAAATGATGTTGTCTGGATGAGGTCTGTCTCCAAATCTTAGCTGTACATCCTCCTGTGTTTGCTTTTCTCTGAAGCAAACTGTCTCTTTTCATAGTGGGCTCCAGAAGCTCCAGGCTGCTGTCTTCCCTCGTTTCAGTCTTTGGGAGAAGAGAATGATCTTTTTGAATACTTCCAAAATACTTATCAACATTGAATCATAGTAACTCTGAGTGGCTCAGTTGCCAACCAAGATCAAATCACTGTGGCCAGTAGGAATAGAATACTTTGATTGGTTTAGGATTAGCTTCCATGCTTGTCCAGAAACTAGAATTAGTCTGTGCCACAGTCTGAGCAGTTATGCATATCAAGACGGGAAGAGGCAGCAATGGACAGGTAGGTTGAACTTACAGTTGGTATGTAGAAATAGAGCTAATAATATTGTTAGCTAAGCTTAGCAGTGGGAGGAAACTAGGAGATTTGGGAAGTCAGCCAGAACTAGGAAGTTCCTAGAAATCCTCTTAGGTCAGAGGTCATCTGATAGCAAGACTTTAGATTGCTAAAGATTGTTTCTTAATCTTTAATACACATAAACATCAACAGGAGGTCTGAGTCATGCTTAGCAAAAGCTGAGACCAAGATAATATAATCTCCCCGCCCCCCAGACCGCCTTTTATATTTAGATCTGCAATCCATTTTGAATAATGTATTTGTATGGTATGAGGTGAGATCAAGGGGTGTGTGTGTGTGTGTGTGTGTGTGTGTGTATGTTCAGTTTGTCAGAATAATTTATCAAACAGGTCTTTCACTTCTTTTGAATCTCTGTCCCTTTGTTCATTTTTCTTTGCATGAATACCGTGCACTATCTTAATTAATGTTGTTTTATTGTATTTTTGGGAATCAGATAATAAGAGCCTTACAAATTTTATTCTTCTAGATTTTCTTGTCCCTGTTTTCTATATTAATTTTAGAATCTTATCAGTTTTCACAGATCATCTGAGACTGTGGTTGAAATTGTGTTGACTTTAAAATACAACTATTGGCGGAAGATTAGCCTGTTTGTAATACTAAGTCTTCCAACTGATGACTATTTAGGAGCTCTGGTAGCTGTAGTGTCTAAAGCATTTGACTGTTAACCAGAAGGCTGGTGGTTCAAACCCACTAGCCACTCCTCGGAAGGAAGACCGGGCAGTCTACTTCTGTAGTTCCTTGGAAATCCAAGGAGGGGTCGCTATGAGTTGGATCTAACTCTATCACAGTGAGTTTGGTTTTATTGTTGGTTAATTTCTTCTATCATTGTTTTACAGTTTTAACTGAAGAAGGGTTGCATATTTAATTTATTTCTGGTATATGGTATGTTTTACTTTGTAAATGTTATTTATTTACATTTCCAATTGTTTTGGTTAATATATAAAATTGTATATTATACATTTCGTTTTGTATATTGACCTTCTATCCAGTGACATTTAAATATTCAATTATTTCAGATAGTTTGTGGATTATTTTGGAATTTCTATGTATACAGTCATGTCTATACCAATAAAAGAATGTTTTATTTAATTTCTGAACTTTATTTTTTGTTCATTTGTCTTGGCTTATTTACTTATAGTGATGGATAATTTTATGTATCAACTTACTAGACACTGTTGCACAGTTGTTTTTGGTCAAACAGTAGTTTAGATGTTGGCATGAAGGTATCTACATGTGATTAACATTTAAACCAATTGATCTTGAGTAAAAGTACATTATACTCCATAGTGTGGGTGAGCCTCAACCAATCAGTTGAAGAGCTGCATCCAATCGGTAAGAGCAAAAA